AAAACGTCATATAAATGACAATTCGTGTAGACTCAATTTATTTATAAATATAATTTATTTGTTAATTTTTAGATATTAATAAAAAAAATTCATCTATATTTTTTATATAGCATTAAAATATTACGTATTCGTTTATATTTTACAAATTATAAGGAACACATCAATACTTATGTATTGTTTCATCAGATTTAAATAACATGGTTATAAAATTCAAATAAATTCTATACTTTAAGTCTACATTACAATATTRTCTAACCAAGTCGCCTCAATATCCCAGTTAGAACGAAAAAAGTTAAAGTCTCGTTGAAAACATGCATCGAGTATTATACTTAAGTTGACTGTTGGCAAATTGGTCATATGCGTTTTACTAAATTATATTCCATCGAATATATGTACAAAAGTTAACGTTTTATTTTTTTGATTTAGTAAATAATATCAGAATTAATAAATTAAAATATGACTTTTTATAAATAAACTTTTCTCAAAATATTAGATTAAGCTCTTTCTACTGAATTTAACCAATAAAAGAAGAACATATTTTATAGTGCTTCATGCCTTAACCTTATATTATTTTTATTTCCCCACAATACGTGTGAATATATTGATTATATTTTATGCACGAACGCATTTCTGTCTGTAATTAAAAATAATATGAGCTTTGCAATATAAAATTTTAAGACCAACTATTAATTTATGAAAATTACTCATTTTAAATTATTATTATTTAAAGAAACYAACTTTAAAAAGAAATCTGTAGTATTATACGATATTTGACGGGACAAATTTTTGCACAGGTCCATTGTTAACTCTGGTTACACTTTKAAAGTTTTCACACAAAAAAAAATAGCAAAAAAACACAAGTATTTGTAAAACAATAATAATGATAAAAATAAATTATATTTTTTTACACTGTTATTCTCTAGGTAATTTATATTTAGCCAAGAAAAATGAATAAATTACATCCAATATAATAGAAAAATAAACAAGTTCGTTTTATCAGTTGCTTGAAAAGTTATGGTAATKTTGAAATTTTGACATTCTAGAAACACAATCTACGTTAAATTTTCTTCCTCTCAACGTTACGCTATTATATAAATCAATTGAAAAGTAATATATTATAGRGTTTATAGAAATAAAATTATGTATAAAACTAGCATTTCGCTTTATAGTATTCATAGCTTTAATACACAATTTCAAAAACACTACTATTTAATTATATTAAAAACCTCACACAATTGCATAAACAATAATGATATGTATAAATTATTGCAATAAATACACTGGTCATTGACTCAAATATACAACAATATTTGACACTTACCCACCCTATCGAATCAATTGAACAATTATCGCTCTAAAAAATCAAACTTTTCACTATACCATCGGCAAACCATTTGTTGGTGTTTAATATTCTCTTCCCATGTAATTAAGACTAACGAAGATATTCGGAAATTTGTTTGATTGAGAACCAACGATATTTTAACAACGCTTTAATTTGGCAAAGTATAATGTAGCARACGACGATTCCCTTAGAAAACCTATAATTTTTAACTTATATATTTTTCATCAAATTTACACCCACCAACGCGTATTTATATAAGGATAGATATATCAGATATATTTTCGATGGAACTTTTAAATAGGTACTGCAGTCACTTTATATTTGTGTAATTTTTCTGGAGGAATATGTCTATATATATTTCGATTTTTTCAATGTATATGAAAATAATTACCGACACAAATTTTTTGTACCGAATTGAAAGCTTTATGGTAGTACGACGTGTACATACTTTTGATTCACGAGCATTCGATCTGCGTTCAGTCTTTACGGAAATAAATCACTGTCTGAACAGAAACCAAACATCTTTAGTAAATTTATATCGGTACACCACGAGTTCAATATTTTACGCTAAAACAAAAACTAAAAGTAATACGCACACGCGCGCGTTCATCGCCATAAACCAATATCGCATCGCCCTCGTCTTCCCGTACCATTTTGCACTTTTCCGCGGGAGCGAAAATTGAACAACCCCTGTCGTGAGTGACATAAAGTTTGCAAGAACGCAAACTGCCGAGAGGAAAATATACAAGCCRTCTGATATGATTCGCATATAAATAATACGTGTCTAACCGACAACACAGTTAAAATGTACGTTTGAAAAACAAATATATTTAATTATGACATATTATTTAATAAAAACGTCTGGCCTACGTCAATATTATGATTTCATTTTGTTTACTTTTTATAAATATTACAAGTATCAACAAAGTCAAAATATAATAATATTCTAAACGTGCACTGGCGAATTGCCTAACCTATTCCTAATAACAAGTTATTATGAATACAAAAATACAAGTTATTATCCTGCGCATGTGTGAGCGTGAACGTAATTTACATCGACGTCTCATAACTATATAACTTTTTTAATTTTGAACTCATTTTCCATTTTCCATATATATGATCCAATTAATTATTACGACGATTCACTCACTACCACTACCACATAATCACCACCCTCGCATTGGAAAATCCGTGGGGGAAACATAGTTAAAACGGAATGGTTTAGACAACTTTTTTATTTTTTTGGAGGATCCCAACAATGACGATATAATAATAACACGCGAACCGAAACAAACTTAACAACGAGACGCGTATTCGTAATCCTATCGTCGCTCGCTTCTCGCTCACCCCTTCGGATAAACTATCGAATTCGGCCTCTTAGCATTTTAACGGATTTAAAAACTTAAAACTTAATCCGATAGTTTGTCAAATTACACTTTGTTTTTAGCAATAAAAACCCTGCAGATAAATTAGATCACTTTCATCTGTTTGGTGAACTTTTAAAGTTTTCATTATTCATAGTGGAATTCATTAAATATACCGCAAAACATACTCGCTGTCGTTTAACAAGGCGCTGTAGCATTAATTCGTCTACATGCTTTTATAATACGTGCATATTAAAACTTCTACGAAAATTACTAGCATGTATACATAACARAAACAATATCATGTCAATGCGTCCATATTGAGAAACATTTCATAATGAASGTATATATAGGAATTAGGAATAAATAAATTTATAATGAGCACACAGTTCGCTTTGACCGTTACACTCAGGAAAACAAATTGTAATAATCGACCATTGTGAAATGATGGTCATCAGACGCATGAGATAAAAAAATATTTGACGAAAGGTAGTGAAATCCTATAGTGCTAATATAAAAACAATTATACTGACTATAATAATAGAAGGATCTAGGCTTAGAGGAGAGGGTTCGGCGTTTAAATTATTTCAAAAAAACACAATCTGCGTATCATTATAATTTGTGACATTTTTTCGCAGCGGACACATTCTGATTACTGTCTAACACCAAAATAACGATCATACGACCGATATATTAAGATTAAAAGATACGTTCATCTACCACGCAAGTTGCAAGCCTTTTGCAGAACACTCATCGACTCACTTAGCTCTCGTAATATTTTATAACGTCATATCTGCACGCAGGAGAGCGGTATCTAAACAAGTCGAGGGTTTATTTATAATTTTTATTGTTGGTCGACGAATCCGATGAGGTTAAAAGACGTCTCTAAAGGCCGGAGCTCCAGGCGTTATTATTCGGRCCACACACACACTGAGATTTCTATTTTCAATAAAATATTTGTCGGTCTACAGTTTTTGGTTTAATATAATATTCATATTATGATCAGTAGCCATACCTGGAACCGACGAAACGAATGAACCCTAAACAAAAAAAACTCGAAATACGCCGGCCGACGGTAGGTATGCAAACACTCGGGAGACGGTGCGGTGCCGCGGTAACACGTATGTGTACACACGCGTCGTCAAGTCTGCGGTACACACTGCACGTGCGTACGCCGAATGTCAAATCTCATATGTTTATGAATTTCGTGAAATTCCCACGCGGAACCGATGCCGTCAGCTTTGTCGTCAGATTTCCCCGGGGTTGTATTTATTATTATTATTATTATTATTATTATTACTATTATTATTATTTGTTATCCTATATTATTTCTTTTCCACACCACAGCCACGGTCGATCCACGCTGCAATATTCACTCTCAYGACCGTAATCGTCAGTGTCCGCAGCCGCAAAAAAGTTTTCGTAGAACTTCCGAGACGGTTGTGGCGGTGGATGTGGGACTTCGTACCGACGAATGACGGAGAAAAAAACTACCCCACCAAATACTGAGCGACAAAACACGTAACACGTTTTTCGTCTTTACACGTAAAATATTTTTTATATAATATAATGATATGTATATTTCATTACCTGCCGTTCCCGTGAGAGGTTGTGTGGTGGTATTTTTGTGTGYAGTTTTCGCCACTGCGACCACGCGCCCATTGTAACGTTATTACCACAGTATTGTGATARAACACACCTCCTCCCTCACCATCACATTATCCACGCGTATTGATCTCCTCCTCCCCGAAATCTTCCAAGTCGGCCACCCTTTTCTTCCGACAACGCAAACGCACGTAAAAAACGAATAAACAAAATGTAGTTATACTACGAGTTATTGCCTCTGTCCGAGTTTTCACTTAAAAAAAAATAAATAAACGTGGTTCTCGGCCCGTTCAATATTTCAGCGCGTTATTCCACAAAGTTAAAGTTGTGATTTTCGAATACATATTTTATACGTCGAAAAGATTTCAACGGGAATCCTCCAAAATCATTACCAAGTGTTTAACGTCATAAATACGGCAGTCCTTGCGTCATAATAYTGTCACTTTTACACCTTCATGTGGACATAGTCGTGGCCTGTGGTCGGGGGAGAGTTCTCTCGATAACGCTATCGAAACGCACACTGTGTACAGCGTCTTGTCATCTGTGTATCGCCGTTTATTGAGCATCAGACGTGCATATGATTTAACATTTTGGTTTTTTGGTTTTTTTTTTTTTTAAGAAATAACCCTCGGCAACACGGCCATTGGGATAAGATACATTTTTTTTTTTTTTTTGAAAGGTGTTACATAATAATAATAGAAAAGGTTTAATAACAATAAATGTCTAAATTATATAAGTATAATTATAATAAGATTGTGTTTTTTTTTTAAATGATTAAATAAGTTTGTTCAGTCCTGTCYCCTGGRGAAACACGAATATGYCTGTTGATTGCGGAACAGATCCCAGTATATCGTATACATTTCTAGATAGATTATTGCGATTTCTTGCATCGATGTATATGCAAGACATTCCGTTAAAATGTGTTTAATTGCAAGTTCGAATCCACATGTCATACACGAAGGGGGCTCATYTCGGGACATTAGGTAGCCATGTGTTATTCTGGTGTGGCCTATTCTTAGCCTGTTGATGATRGTTTCCTTTTTTCTATCAAGATTMAACATTTTAATATTATTATTTATACGTAAAACGTGATTAGTTSCTTCGCGTAACGTGCAAGACTGTGTTCGCTGAAAGCTCAAACTTGCAACGATKGTGTTAAGCACACAAACTTGGGGATTCTTCGGTTTCGAGATGGACGTGTCATCGATTAAATACATTGTGGGCCATCTCAAAAATAAAAACTCTTTACTTTATACGCAACGAACTCCGGTGACGATGCGATTTGATTTTAAATTATTTYCACCAGATGACTCTAAAGAAACGCATGCGTGTTTTCGAAAAGTATGGAATGATATAACTGGTATGTTATGTAATATATTATAATATGATCCACCAAGGTTCGAAAAAACACAGCTCCCAAACTAATCATTGAGATTAAATCTCTTGATTGCCGGACGAACTGAACTTTCAAATCACACAAACCATACACCACTTAAATAACGTATTGATTTTATTTGTTTCAAAACCATTCTACTGGCGGCTATCTACTACACAATTACTTAATCCTTTACTACAATAAATCGGTGTTACCTATTAAAAATAATAAATAAAAAATATATAAATACCAAGCAAATTCTTAAAACATAAATACATTTTGGCGCAAACAAACAGTGGCATATACCGAAAAGCTTAAGGGGACTCCATTCCCYTCCTTATTGGCAATGTTATATTATAAATCTTATATAGTATCAGGCGGAGTACAAACCATGATTTTTCTGAAAACGGTTTTAAAGAAACGTTTTGTGTAGTATAAATTATTTTTAGAGATTACTACGATTACGGGATATAGTAATAACAACCTAATATAAGACGATGGATATAAAGTTCTGATTTATTTTGTTTAGCATCCTCTCCCCTTCCCATTAATAATTCCTAGGTACGCCACTGTAAACAAACCAGATTATCTAATAAAAACAAATTACCTATAACCGTCTGTTGTTTACGCAAAACTATTATTTTCCAAATCATCAAATACATATTATACCCATATCCTGTAAAATAATAATATTATATATTATGCTACTAGATTCCTACTTTGTCGATATCGCATCCGTCCGAGAAACAATCTAATCGGAAGTTGTCGTGGCAATACAATAATATTTCTGTATCTGAGTAAATCAAAATCAGTAAACAAATATTTTCAATAATAGAATTATGTAACAATTTAATATGCGCTCTCGACTGTATTACAAACAGTATAAATCAAAAAATTGAATTTTCTTGGACTACATTATATAGTTTTATCTCAAATAGGATTTACGGAGAAGAGCATGACAAACGTTTTGGAGGAGCAGGACGATAATTTATCGTCCCCCCTTTCTCCGAATTATTATATATTCATTTAATTATTTTGCTCATTTAATTACAAATCTAATTATTATTTTGGTTACTAATGTTTGTACGACATCGCAAGATTTTCATTAATTTTCATTATTTATATTTATTGGTTTGATGTTTCTCATGGATGATTTTGTTTAAATAATACCACCATCGTAATGTACTTTTTTTATTAATAGCTTAAAGTGATAACTATAGATATATCCCAACAAATATGCAGTATAGTAAAGTACAAACTAAATTAGATTAAAACACAAAAAAGATACTATATAGTATATAATATGATAATAAAGGAGTGACAAATAAAAATTAAAAAAGGTTCAAAAGCCCATTAAAATCTACAAATTACAGATGACGTTTTTGAAAATTAAAATTATTGTAATAATATTATGATTAATGAGGTAGAATAAAAATTGGATTCTGGAAAAATTGTTTGTTTAGAACAGCTGYGAGGAGCGTGATTAGGGGATTAATCAATGAAAAAATTACGTAGTGTACTTGAATAAATAAAAAATAATAATATAATGCATGCAAAATTATATAATTATATAAATACAATATTTCACAAGAATATAGAAAAATATACAAGAAACGYAATACTCGATAACGACTACTATRTGCTAAAATTACAACGATGTTTACTCATTTTCATTTTCATATAAATTACCTCTACAATACAAACAGATTTTTTTCACTTCCATTAATTGTCAAAACGTAGTTGTTATTATCTTAATAGACGTATTATGATAATGGTCAAACAATTTGTACTAAAAAGCCATTAATTAATGCATAAAATAATTACACAGCTGAACGTTGTACAATTTAAATATTTATTATACACCAATAGAAAATAATTAGTTCTTAAATTTGTAATCGTGCGTGTAAGGTATTTTAATTTTAAACCCTACTTCAATTAAGGATTAACTTCTGATAGCAGCGGTTCGTCACTTTTATGCATTTTGTATTTAATATAAAACCACTCCAACTGACCAATCCGCACACGTAAGAACCACACACGCGGTGACCCACTTACTTGCGTATTTTTTTTTTTTATATTAGAGGTGGTTTATGCCAGAACATAATATTACATAGTAAACTTTTATACTTAACTGTTATTTATGATGTTTAAAACTTTTGTCAGGAACATTTCCCTTATATTTTCTAACGTATTATTCACCCGACTGTTACCCGTCTCCCATTTAACAATTGTTTTACCGCTGTAAAACGTTGTAATTAGCCATGTCATTTTAGTTCTCCGTAGTTTTTTTTTTTGTTTGTTTTGCATTTCACTAACCGCATAAAACATCTGTTCGGTTAATCACCACGAGTTTATACACACGGAATATGATATATTCAAGTAACGTCTTGGGATGTAATTATAAAAAAAAAAACGTTACTCATTTATTTCTTTAAATAATGCAAATCATTTTTTTTTTCTTAAGTGAAATACAAGAGTTCAGTATAAAATGTTCAAGGATTATAAAATTTTACATTTAATTTTAAATAAATTATGAATAATTAGTAACAACAATTCTAGGSAGAGTTTTCATATCAAAAAACATAGTGGAGATTTCATACCAATATGAGTTTGCTAAGTTTTATTACATCACTTTATAAAATTATCGTTTTTTTGCCATTTMATCGTATTTCTACGAACATTGTTGTTTAGGTACAATATTGATATTTAGAATTATAAAATAATATGTTAACATATCCACTTTTAATAGTATTAGAATCACGACTATAAGTCTATAATGTTAACAACACATTTATCAATAGCTGAACTCTTTTGAATAATATCACAAAAAATATGATAAAGTTATGAATTAATAATATTATTGTATATTAAATAGGCACAAAATAAATCACATATATATAAACAATTAATCAAGACACGGTCAAATCATAATAATTATCATGATGATTTATAGATAATATTATGTTCTAAATTAATTTTAATAATATTTTATTAAATATAACTATTTAATTTGAAATAGGTATACGGAAAAAAATAATAAAAACAGATACAATATTACCATATTATTGAGGTATAATAACGAGAATAATGTAATTTTACAAAAAAATTATCATTTTTGTTGTATGATACAATTTATTTTTCAGTTAGTTAATACATTTTTAAAAGATTATTTTGATAAATGAAAAAAATCACTTTTAAATCTATAATGCCGAAATATCMTCAAACCTCGTAGAAAATCATCTCAATTCTTATCAACCTTGGTATAAAGACTGGGGGATAAAAATCAACGAAACAAAATCCATCCACTGTACGTTAACACTAAAGAAAATATTCCGCCCTCCCATCTACCTCAACCATGTACCTCTCCCAAATACCCAAAATGTCCGATACCTTCGTCTACATCTAGACCGCAGGTTAACTTRGGCAACTCACACACACAACAAAATACTTGCCTTAAATAATCGCTCAAGTTATCTCCTCACATCTCAACACATCAAC